CGTTTTTGAGAGTATCAATCCAGAGATATTGTGGCATTTTGGCGGTTGTGGCAGGGTGGCCAGCCTCGAAAGCGTCAGTCGTTTATGCCTTACTGGTCAAGGACTGTGTGGGTGGTGTGGTGGGCAATGATAGTATTCGGGGTTTGTTCATTCAGACGCATGAACTTTGGAAAGTTGTGAGCGAGGTGTGGTAACTAGCGCCATTTTGATGCATGCTGTTGCACTATTTATGCACTGCTTTTGGCGCTCATCATGTGGGGAAAGATAAATAAGGAGCGGAGTTCGCGATGTGGCGCCCCTCTTCACTCATCGTAGCTAACCATGACTGCTAAGTATAAAAACTTGTTCCTAAATTTTGGCCCGTGCCGTATTCGAAAAGGAGGTGCTTCTCACCCGTGCAGAGCGTTCGCGTCAATAAGCATCCTTGCGGTGTCTTTCACAATCCGGGCTAGGACTCCACTGTCCTATTGGCGGACTCGAGACATCCACTTGATATCTTTATCAACTGTTGTGCAACATTTGAGTTTAAGTTGTCCTGTCTCGTTGTCCTGTCACGATATTTTTTTACACATTACGCACATTATTGGTCACGAAACTTCCGTTATGGCTGCATGGTCGAGTGAGGAATCTGAACAAGGGCTTCGGTCCTACGTTGATCGCAATAATTGTGCTGGGGCCGGCCCGGCCGAGATGGGTGGGACACTGGTCGCGGTACACAGTAAAGTTAAAAAAAATGTGGTAGTTGGGAACGGCAAACGAGTGAAGGACTATCTCTGAGGGTATCTAGTATCTGATTGGCCGAAAGCATACAAGGTAATCCAGTCACTGACCTACCAATGCTGTGTCTGCGGGTGTACCTTGTCAGAATCGATGTCATTAGTGGGTGTGGGCGGGGATTAGGATTGCCGCATTGACGACATGGGTGCGGTTTCGTCAGCCTTCCCCTCGCCGCGAGTCCGCACTACTTCTCTATCCCTTACTACAGCATCTTTCCAGACAACATCATACCTATACTTTTTCAATCAATGGGTATTCATTTCTCTGGCTCAATTATCGTGCCGTCGCGGCCGTTGAATCTGCTGTTTGTTGTTTGGTTTTGTATTTTCGAAGAAAGGTCCTAATTTCCATGATGGACAATATCGACCGTCCGTTCATCTGTCATTCCTGCCCTGCCCGTTTCACCAGAAAAGAGCACAAAACCCGGCACGAACAGGCTCACCGTCCACTTCGAGAATACGATTGCAACTACTGCCAGAGATCCTTCCGACGCAAGGATGTTCTCGTACGACACGAGAGACTCTTACACACTACCAACGCGCAGTCGAACTCGCCGCCGAGTTCTACAACCCGTACCGCAGGTGGCCGTGACAGTGGAGCCAGACCAGTGCTCCTGGATGACCAGAAACAGAAGTCCAACGAACAGGTCAGCAGCTCCTGCACTGATTTCGGCAACAAACAGCCTGGGTACCCTTTAGATAGCGACGATGATCAAGGATGGACATTACCCGATGATGCAATTGTGTTCTTTGACCCCCTTCCAACCACCTCAGGCGAATTCGACGTCGCGGGACTCGTTCAAGAATCTGGAATGTCCGTCTGTACGGAGTCGAGCCGGGGACCTTTTTCTTTCCTATTTTCCACACCACTACCTGATCTCGACCTCCCCACACAGCAGTTCGTCACGTTGATGCAAGAATGCTCGGGGCAGGACCGGAATGCTTTCGAGCTAGTGACGTCGCCATCCCCCAACTATGGAGGACAATACTCAGCCAACCTTAGTTTGAGCCTGCTTCATCAACCTCTCGACACGAGCAGTTCCAGACTTGTCGAGAAATTAGTGTGGCTTACCAGGAATCAGTCGAGGATTGTCCCAATTCTCGAGCTGGATGGTGACTGGATGCAGACGACCCAAGGCAGCATCATTCTGTCATGCCTGAATAGGCCCGGTCTGACACCCCCCAGGAATGCCTTTCGGAGATGGATTCAGTCCTACTTCATGCTCTTCCATCCTCACTTAGCTCTCCTTCACACAGCCACGTTTCGTATCTCCCATTGCCACCACGTTCTTCTCCTGTCCATGGCTGCCATCGGTGCCATTTATTCATACAACCAAGACCACGCCATCAAACTATACGAAGCGGCGTCTGAGTCGCTGGCAACTTACTCTTCCGTAATGCCAGCTACTCAGAGGATGCAAGCCGACTTGCTGCTGGCCATATTTGACAGCTGGTCTAACCGACCTGGGATGCATACTCAATGTTCTGCTATTCGTCGTAATCTCCTGAATGTGAGTTACTGAAACCCCATGCCAAAAATAACACTTGACAAGGCGAATCGCTTACGAGATCTTGTTGAAGGCGTTGAGTTGTGCTCCCCACGAAACGCAATCCTCCCGTTGCAAAGACTGGCATTGCTGGGTGGAGATCGAGGGTTTCAAGAGGTTTGTCTGATTTCTGCTTGCTGGAGGCTAGAATCCCTGTGTGGTTGAGTAACTAATAATTGCTAGAACGGCGTGGTTCTCATACTGGTTTTTAACCCTGGTGAATGCGTCGTCATCCATTACAGCAAAGACCCCATTGTTCCAGGACTGTACCTTGGAGCTCCCATATCAGGAGTCTCTCTGGGTATGCGAGGATTCAAGCAAGTGGAGCGCTCTTATAACGTCAACGCCAGCGCCACCTGTTTTTATGGACGCGTATCGGACTCTCTGGGGCACACAGCCCATGCCAACGACTATCGGTTTCTTTGGACTAGCGACCTTGATGTGCGCACTGTTTGCGCATGTCCAGCAAATTGCCTCGGTCGCCGCCGGATCCTTATCAGAGGTTTTTATGCCTCTTATTACCTCGTGTGAGGCTGCGATGAACAAATGGCTTAGTGCGACCCGGGTGATTGTCGACAATCAGCGCACTAGTGGCATCGACAATGTCGCCATGGCTGAGGCTGCCATTGCCATGTGGAATGTTACCATGGTGCATCTGTATGCCGATGTACATGTTGTAGAAATTTCGCAGTCCATGGTGTCAGATCAAGGTGACGAATATGTCGACCGACTGGCCAAGGAGGTGCCGCGGAGTGCTCGCATGTCTGGGGCGATGCAACATGCCCTCAACTTTCTTCGTGGGCCTATTTCTCATGGAGTCACTTTTCTAGCGCAAACGGGATGCCTTAATCTGAATCCGTGCTTGAGCCGGCTTGGAATCCACTGCATTATTGTTCTCGCTTATTGGCTTCGTACTTTGGAGGTCGTCTTATCTGCAGAGCCCCAAGCCACATTAAGCAAGGATGAGCTGGAGGCTATTGATGCAGTCAGGGAGGTCTTGCAAGAATCAGACACTGCAGTCTCAGACAATGCTGATATGTTGCTCAGTGAATCTTGTCTTCAAGTATGGAGTGAGGCGATGAGCCACGAGAAGTTAGCTTGGGCTTTTGACGAGCAGAAAAGACATATTTTAAGACCGGAAGTATTATTCTCGAGGGACATGCGTCCAGCCGATGCTTAGGGTGGTTTTGTATCTAGTATCAGAGCACTCTTCTCGCTGTTAAGCTTGATACGTTTTCCATTAGCACCTTACTAACATCCTACAACCGTGCCAACCCTATAAGCTGGGCCTTGCGTCTTGTGCGCTAGATTTCTAGTGTTATACCTTGGGTTGCTAATAACGATGGAATTGTGAACGTAGTAGTGGCTGCATAGTTTCAACCTGATATTTTTTATCTTTTGAAACTGCTAATACTGGCTGTTATGATATGGAGGGCTACACTGATTGGGGCGCCTCTGTGAGGCGTTCTCACATTGCGTCGAGGAGGCATGTACCTGTTCAGAGCGGCAACACATCCACACGTTGAAAATATCAGGCGCAATTGCATCGCGCCAAATCAAGGGTATCTCTTGAAGCGTCACAATCTGTGAGATGCTATTTGTAACTGAGCCGTATAGTAATATATTCTCCTGTCTGTCAAGTAAGCTCAGCCAAGCGCTTCGGCCCAAGTCGTAGCGAAACACAATGCCAGTAGGATTTATTAAGCACCCTAGAAGACCACATTCGGGTTCTGGAAGTGCCCTGGGACTTGATTCAAAAGATCCCAATGTTCAAGGAACTGCCCGTCGTTGTACCTATATGTTCATACCTCGGTCTTGGCTCTATTGAAGTAGATGGGCATGAATGACGAGTTAATCTCCGTCAACCAGGATTCGCTTCATTTGTGGTTCCAACTTGATATAATTCCCTGGTTTTTTCGAACTTCCTATAAAAGTAACAGGCGAATTCAATAATCGACTTCGGACCGTCCCACGCCTCATAGCTGTGCTGCTTGTAGTTGGGGCTGAGGAGTTTGCTCGTCTCATTGTATTGGCGGTAGATGAAGGTCACCTGTGTCAACTTGATGAGATATCGGATTGCATTCGCCTTTTAATGTGTGTGATTACTTAACTGGTTGGAGATTGTACATCTGGTCAGTATCGCGTTCGATGTCCATATTGTTGCTCGATTTGTGGGAGCGGTGATTTTTTTTGTTGTCGCGGGAATAGCCCATTGCATTTGTTTCAAAGTACTTCAATATCTGCGTCAAGCAATCAAATACCCTGGCGACAGGAAAACTACTGATGATATGAGAGCTCTCTAATCTGTATTCATAGAGTGACCTTTCATGCGATATTGAGGGGCCCAACAGGGTCAGAGGCCACTTGGGCTGGTTTAAGCAGGCACCTTACTACAAAGTGGCGCTCCACATACACAAACGGTGATCCCCCCACCCCCCACATCCTCCCCTCTATTCCTCGGTCGACGGGTGCCCTGATACTCGCATCAACAGTGGTGCCCTTCTCTCAAAATTAAGCCCAACCAACCTATGATATTTATTCAGAAATAACCGACCATGGACAGCTCTCCTCAAACCAATTGTCGTAGTCAAGTCTTACTTTGCTGCTAGCATCCTAACACGTTTGTTGACCCTCACACTGAAACTACGCCTCGTTCAATTTTCTCGTTTAACTCAATATGGCAGTCCCTTTCCCTGAAAGTCCCTTCCTGTCCGGCTTCGAGGCACCATGCCGTTACGAAGGACAGGTGCGCGACCTCGTGGTCCATGGAGAAATTCCAAAGTCAATCAGCGGGACCTTCTTTCGCGTCATGCCAGACCCGTTTCTATCTCCAGCATACTACAAAAACGGTTCACACTTCATCCCCTTTGACGGGGATGGCAACGTGTCAGCCTTCCGCATCCATAATGGTCACGTTGATTATCAGCAGTCATATGTGCAGACAGAACGCCTCCAGATGGAACGTGCTGCTCGAACATGTTTATGGGGCGTATACCGCAACCCTTTCACCAACCATCCTTGCGCCAAGGCAGCCATCGAGAGCACGGCCAACACAAATGTTGTTTACTTCAACGGCCAGCTCCTTGCCCTGAAGGAGAGCTCTCTTCCATACGCTATGGATCCGAACAGTTTAGCAACGAAGGGCTATTATGATTTCGAGGGCCAAGTCAAATCTAGAAGCTTCACGGCACACCCCAAGCTGGACCCGAAGACCGGCGAATTAGTCTGCTGGGGTTATGAAGCGAAAGGCAACGCTACTACTGATTGCTGCTACTTTGCTCTTGGGTCCGATGGCAAGAAGACCGAGGAGTGCTGGTTCAATGCTCCCTACTGCGGCTTTATCCACGACGCCGCCATTACAGACGACTACTTGATTCTCATGCAAATTCCCATGGTGTGTGAGATGGAGAGACTAGAAGCACATGAGACGCATTGGATCTACGACTACAACCTTCCCATGGTCTTCGGTGTCATCCCCCGTCGAGGCGCTGATCCTAAAAAGGTCCACTGGTTCAAGTGGAAAAACGCTTTCGGCACACATACTGCCAATGCCACGCAGGTTACTGGTCCCAATGGCGATGTGTCTATTAGGCTCGATACAGTTCTCTGCTACGGAAATGCCTTGGGCTTCTTCCCTTCGCGGAACCAACCGACTGACTTCAACCCGGAAAATATCAAGGTCAGCCTCGCCCGTTTTACCATCGCGGTATCTGCTCCCGAATCATCAGAGCTGCCCCAATTGGCCGACCCTACCGTAATCTTTGACCAGCTTTGCGAGTTTCCTCGCATTGACGACCGCTTTGTGTCGACAGACGTTAAGTGGGTCTACTGCGCTACCATGATCCCCGACTTAGAGATGGAAGCGAATGCAAAGTCGCTTGTTGGTATGGCCGGTCTCAACGGGCTGGCCAAGGTTGATACCAAGACTGGGAAGGCAGAGCTTTGCAGTGTGGGCTCAAGCAGTCTCGTGCAGGAGCCTGTGTTTATTCCCAGAAGCAAAGACGCAGAGGAGGGCGACGGTTATCTGGTTGGTCTGGTCAACAGGATGGACAAGATGGTCAGTGATTTGGTAGTGGTTGACACGGCCAAGTTCTCTGACGGACCCGTTGCCGTAGTGAATTTACCTCTCAGGTTGCGTCAGGGTTTACATGGCAACTGGGTTGATGCGAGTGAACTTCCGGTGAAGGACTTGATGGGATTCAAGTAAACAATATTTACGGTTCTGCAGGACAAATGTTTGTTTTGTTATTAACGCTAGTTCCAATAAATGTGTAGGAATTAGACCAAGTCATACTGAAGTCGTTTTGTTGGTTGCTGCTTGGCTTGGCATTGAACCTAGCTTGATTCCATGTCTAAGGGCTTACATATATGGAAGTTCATATTGCGGACATAAAGGTGGTTTGGGAACAAGGACGTGTTCCTTCTCATTTATCGCTGTTGTGGCCCTCATGGCTACATGTCATAACCTACCATAGTTAATCTCTAAGTACATTAGTACTAGCGAGTGCTGACCGCTACCAGGTAATAGTCATCTATTTATTCAAGAATGATTTTCAGGCAATATGAGTTCAAGATATACAATTGTTTCGTTAGCTAAGACTGCAGTGTTTAGCATCTTACCAGAGGCCTCGCGGAAACAAAACCTGGAGTTGATGGCTGAGCCACAACCAGCGTAACACAGCAGAAATAGCTTTCCGTCATCACTGTACTATTTATTTCATAATCACTGCGTTTAGGACATGAGGTACAGGAAAGGATGTTTTGGATGACAAGGCAGACGTATGGAACCTCTTATGGCCACATGATATCCGACCTGGAATAGGAGAGCTGAGGAAAGTCACTTAGACACAAGGAGATAACTAATGCAACAATTAGAATGACAGCTGTGATGAATGAAAATTCACTAGAGAATTTAAGGCTAATCATCGCTCAGTAACGTACCTTCGTCAGCTCAGTGCCCTCTTCGTGTCTACAAAATTTCACAAACGGGGGCAATACTGACTGTCTGGGGGTCTATGATGCAAGTGGGGAAAAGGCCATGACGCAAGTGGGGGAGGGGCCACGAAGTAAGTGGAGGAGGGGCCACGAAGGAAGTGGGGGAGGGGCCACGAAGTAAGTGGGGGAGGGGTCATGTCAAGAGGGGGTCTCTTACCTGATTCGAAGTAAAGCCTATAATCCATCCCAACTTCATATATAAGAAGTTTACTCCGTATCAAATAGTTGTTTAATATCATTTAAAGTTTTTGTACGGAAATCCCTGTGGATCAAAGCAAAACAAACAGTAAGACTATCAGCGTCAACTAAGATCCCACAGTTAATGTATCTAACTAATCATACTTGTCTAGACATTTTAATTACTCTTACGAAAGATGAAGTACTCCGACTATCTCGCTGCCTATAACAGCTCTGACGAGGGAGCCAAAGCAGCCTTTTTTACCGAAGATCTCATTCTCAAAAGCTCGTTGGCTACGCTGGAGGGTCGAGACAAGGTGATGGCCCTTCTAGCGGGGGGCCATAAGAATGTGAAAGAAGAGCTTCGGCCCTTGCATGTACTTCAAGAGGGCAACATCATCATGTCGGAACTTGATGCGGCGTTTATTGCCCATGATGACAGCCCGGATAACTTCTTTCATAAATTCAGAAAAGGAGAGGCTAGAGCATGGCGGTTTTTTTGCTTGTATAAGCTGAGAGATGACAAGATTTGCGAGATGCATCTCTCGTACTGGGTCGACAGCTGGGAGATCCCCGCCTTTTAGAAAGATTAGTCGATAGGGAATCATGCGCCATATGCTTCCAGAGAGTTATTTAGAAGTGGATATGTATGTGACTGATTAGAGGCGGGCCAAAAAGGACGATTACACTGTTACGGTCAGATATCCGACAGTGGTGTTTTCGTAACCATTGGATTACGAGGATCACGTCTAAGTGTCCTAGTTGCGCTATATCGAAGACCAGTTGTTCTTAACGGTTATAGGTAACCATAGGGAGTTATGTGGTTACTGTGGGATCTTAGTTGACGCTGATAGTCTTACTGTTTGTTTTGCTTTGATCCACAGGGATTTCCGTACAAAAACTTTGATCTTTAGTAATCCTCTTATCTAGAGGCCTAGATAAGAGATATAGGGGTTAGGGCTAGATGAAAATTTCTTTAATATTCTTTCTTAAGTTAAATCTTATCGTAGCTTAAAGCATAAAGCTAGACTCTTTTTAAGCTAAAATTCAATTTTTAATAAACAGTTTAAAAAGGGGCTTTTTTCTGGCGATAAGGAGAGTGGCGACTTGCTATGACTGGCGACTCGCTATGCAAGTACGTTAAGTTAAGTATCTCTTATTGTTTTTTAGGCTTAAATTTAAAAAGTTATTGAAGTTTATGTAAATGCGACCCCCTTTTTTTACCCTCTCCGTGAAGAGGGGGGTTTTAGCTTTGCGCGGCTCTGGCTAACACCCCAGGGTAGGTTCAACGTTCGTAAAAGTAAATAAATTAAGACTACTTAGAATCCTCTTCCTCAGTCGTTTCTTTATCAAGCTGGCACGGTCACGCATTATGTCTAGTGTTCCAATAAATGCCACACCGTCGTTAACCTGATTTAATCCTTAGTTCGCAAATACTTCTACGGTGACGCGTTCTTCCTGAATCTGTGCAGTTGCGTCCCTCTGTAACTGCATTTCCTCCGTACTAGCTACAGTGAGACTTCCTTGATGCTGCAGATGTGTTTTCTTAGCTCTCTAATGTCGACTAAGCAGGTTATTTTAATCCTCTTTGGGCCTCTGAAAACGGTGTATGGCCGAGAAATTGAGGATAAGATGCGACAGGGTGATACCTATATTACGAAGGCGGACTTTCTCCCTGCATCTCACAGAGCTTTCACGCAAGAGCTTAAGAAGAAACATCTAAGGAGGCTTTAAAGAGACACGGCTTGTCCCTCTGAATCCAGGGAGTGTATTATCAAAGCTGGAAGTCAAGTTACACAATGCAACACCTTCAGGATCACTTCCAATAACACCACACTCTTGGGTTTCCAGGACACCAAACAGCCCAACAGAAGCAACTTCGCAGTCAACCTTTATTAAAGATCAAATTTCCCGTCACCAGGATAGCTCGCTGACACCTACAAATAATGTTATCGACCAGTTTACTAAAGCAACAGTAGGGGTTTTGCATTTGATCGCTCTTTTGAGATCCGAGGTCAAGATGCTTCGAGAAGAAAACAGCCTACTTAGTCGACGTCGGATGGCTAAGAAAACTCGTCTCAGACAAGGAGAAAGTCTTACTTAGTTCAGGGAGAAGACATTCAATCACAGTGATAGGCAACAACTCAGATTGAAGAGGATTCACGTCGGGGTAGTGGTCGCAGATCAAGGAGCGAAACGGGTCAACGGCGATGTGGTGTCTGCGAAAACACTGGGCACAATGCACGAACATGTCAGTTTACCAAAGAGATGTCTGAGGAAGAGGGTTCTGAGTAGTTTTAATAGATTTATCATTGTTGACCTTGATTTAGAAATCCATCAGTCAAGGTCCAGAGAAGTCGCCCTATTGATTCTAGACGTGTTAATAATAGGGCATCTACTGAGGTCATCAGGGACTGATTCAAGCATCTGGCTGTACGAGAGATCATCGGCATCAACCCACCCAATAGATCCCCCGGCGCATAAGGTAGCTTGCCCCGTTTGAGTTTCTGTTATGTCTCCTCCGAATTCCCACGCTTCGGTTGACTTGACTTACTGTCTTGCACTCTTCAGCCTGGCCCCCAAACAGACGGTCGCGAGCAGCTGGGGCATCTGTATTCTCCATTATTCTGCCGCCAATGCAGCCTTAGGAGGGTAAATCCAATTCACCATCGGCATAGCTTTCACCACCGAAAACAGGCCCTTGCCTTTTATCCTCAGTCTATCAGTCTTTGACAACAGCAGCTGGGCTTGTAACCTGCGCGGCATTGCAGCTTAAATTTATGTAACCTTAGTAGGTAAGGTAAACAGCTATAACATATAGAACTAAAAACCTTCTAGGTGTTGGAATAACAGCACCAGCTGGTTGTACGACACGCATGACTCAGGGACACACATCATGGCAGAGGGCACAGACTGGATATTCGGCTCTCGGTTATCCATTGAGGGGATCAAAAGTATATTCATGCCGAACTGACTCAGGGACGTACGAGATCATATATCTCGTGTACGAAAGCCAAGTCTTGTAGTTAGGAAGATAATCACGGAAAATATATCTTTGGTCCACCCTAACTTTTAACCCGAGTACGATCGTACAAACGGGTTCTCTCAGGAAGAGAGAATCCATTCAACACTAGGATTATATTTCTTTAGAATTTGAACCTATATATTTACTTATTTTTACGTTAATATGTAAATAAAAGTCTATAATATATCTTCTATCTACATAGAAACATAACCCTATTTAAGGTTATCTATGTTTCTATATAAAAGGAAATAATAAGAATTCTCTACATCTTTGCTTAAATATAGACCTGTTATAACTTCTTACAAGTCCCCTATTAATGTTAAATCTACTACCCGAGTAAACTCATATACGCTGTTAATCTTTATATTAACTTCAGTAACGTGAAACACATTAAAACTATTTCGCGTTATAATTTTTAGATTTACTTATTTCCTTTAGTATTAAACCATACCCTTTTCATAGTGTAAGCAGACCTAAGTTGCCTCTAATATCTTCAGTAACTCTGCCCTCCTATTTATACGGAGGAACATCCACGAGAATTGCACAGTAGGAGTACATGGCTTCCGCGATCGCTTGGTTGCCATACTGTTGCATCACTTAGCTGAATATCCTAGGGGGAGAGGGCCTGTACATTGGCTCACTGCGGTGTACACTAATTGCAATTCAGACTCTATCGGTTTCGTAAGCCAGTGAACTGGTTCGCGACTGTAGGAACCCCATCGCTGATAGGCGTCGTGATACTCCTCGATTGATTCTGTCTGGTATTCCCGATCGATATGGACGCCGAACTTGTATCCGATGATAAATTCGGATGGCATCGTAGACGGTAGCTTGTCCCGGAGACGTATGGACCAAGGGTATATATGGCGCTCAGGATCGTCGTACCATTCGGAGAACATCTCTCGGGTGTCTTCGCTCATTCTGATGACCGGTGCGATTTTAGGATCAAGGTTCAGGGTTTGAAAGCTTTCCCAAAGTACCGCATCAACACCCTTCAATGTGGCTGGGAGGGGCGTCTCCATAGTGTGATTGTAGGCGTAGGCATGCGAGCACCAGAAGCCCATTTTACCGCCTAACGGTGTCTGGGTTAGTAAAGAGCATTCTTGCTAGTTGGGTGATCGGTTCTTACCTCGGCCATTGAAGGGATCTTGAGACAGTATCCCTTTCAGGGCCTGACACAGGGGCAGATAGGCTGGGTTCAAAGTCGGAGATACACCGGTCAGGCGCCCGGCACCGCGGACGGCATATAGGTTGTATGTTAAGGTAAGCCGATGGCCGCTGATGACCTCGAGGACCTCATGCTCGCAATCGCTGTAAAAAGCCGCCCAGCGAATTTTAGCGTGATCAGTCGTGTTTTCTCTGTTGGCACTCCAGTCAAATGTCATCTCCTGCCCCTTGTGGCGGACTTTTAGATGGCCGCCCTGGTGCTTTATAGGGAGGCAAATCACGAGGGACCCAAAAGTGAGACGAGGAACGTGGCGTGTCAACGTGCGGCTTGAATCTTCCTGAAGGTCCGGAATATACCTTCATCCAAGCTGTTAACAATAAGCCTGTATAGGACTGAAGCTAAGGGAGTTCCGACTTACATTGAGTTTGTACAGCTCGGCACGTACGCTTCGCTGCATAGTTGAATCGGAGACGGTTGGCAGTAGTACCTGACTTACGGCGTCAATAATTCCCGCCGAGTAGGGGTCAAATGTGGTACAAAATGTAGCTGGGTCTATTTGGACAGCTTTGCGATAGATCTCGTCATAGATGTCTTGACCACCACGACCGAAGGTGGCAGGCCGACACTGCTGAAGGAGCCGATCCAGCCCGGTCTCCGCTCCTTGGGCTGGTGGCAGACTGCTTTTGGCACAGCTGTCTGCAGTTCCATTCAGGTCCCACCGGATCGTAATGGGATCCGACTCTTTTCGCTCACTGGCAAGTAACGGCAGCTCAAAGTGACCAGAAGCTTCAGCTGGTACCTTGAGCTCACGAATGGGAATATCACCCCCGCACGCGAAGAGATGGCTTTGGTCCGCTAGGATGCGTCTGAGGCTGTCAAGAAGCTCGTTATTTTTGGAGTGTTCTGCATTGCTTTCATGACTGCTACTCGCATTATCAGAATATGCGGAAGCAGTTTGTAACCCTGTATCGGACGGCATAATGGGTGAGGGAGGTCGGGCCTGGCTTGAGTAGGGGAAAACCCGATAAGAAGTCGCATCCTTGTTGCCTTTATATAAAAGCTGGTAGGCGAGCGCTTGATATCGTTGACTTGTAGTAGTATGCTTTCCGTTATCAGTGGATCAAGTGTTAGGCAGCCGTGGGTGGCGCCAGGCAGTAGCGCTGCTTCGACCATCATGATGGAATGCTGAAACAATTGAGGTCGGCCTTGACCTTACGGCGTCAAAACTCTGCGGTCTCTGCCTCTGGATGGCTCATTGACCTAGTCTTTATTTGCTTTTCCTTTGCGGATGCCTGAAACATTCAGCAAACTTGAACTGCTAATTTCACATTAATATGCAAGAGTATGGCTTACGCATAGAAGATGAACAAGGTTTGTGCTAGAAATATTTTTATCCCTGTTACGCATAAATTCCCCTTGTATATGAAGCATAGGTAACCTATATGGCACATAAACATCGGAGTTAACAGCATGGTTATTGAGCTTGTCTGCTCTTGCTCGAGGGGCTTTCCTTCACGTTGAAAATTCAAAGGGCTAGGCATACTCTCTGTATCGTGCGTGGCGTTCAGATATCACACACGCCGATATACAGCGTTCAATTCCCTGATGTCGATTGACGATGTCGGTTCGTGAGGAGAATGCTGACCATAGCAGTGGCAACGAAAGAAAAGAAACTGGGGCGCTGGCACGCCTTAGGTAAGAATTAGCGTCGCAAAACCATTGTCTCTTTGCGTACGGGGGAGCGTGTCCCAATGCAAACCCCCCAGCACTGCATTCAAAGGCCGAAAGCTTGCTTTTTAAGGACACTGATGAGCCAGAGAAAGCAACAAACGACAGACTCAGGTTTGGCTTGTCGTTGAAATACTACAGGGCCAAGTCTATCCGTAAAACTCACATTGCCCCTCCCCAGCACAGAGAGCGACGGACATCGAGACTCTACTCCCGCACGCTCATCTTGCTGTCTTCGCAGGGAATAGACGTGATGTCTACAATAAGAGTTAGGGTTAACACCTTGGCTTGCGTAGATAAGGCCGCTGATGGACCGCACCTCAAGTCGCAGAATTCTACTACACATCCTTGCGCTTATCAGCCCTGACAAGATCTTGATTTCTTATTGTTTCAGAAATTAGTGCTCTTTCACCTGCTATTTATGGTTTATGAAGGCTATTAATTGCATCAGAAATATTGTTATTAATTACTATTGTCGTGCTTAGAGTAGGGAATTGGTCCGAAGTCCAGTTAGCTGAGATGCAACTGCTCGGTTTGTATAATAAATATCCCTTTCGGACTCTATTGTAATAAAGCGAAGGGTTATGTGAATGTTTTTGCTTGCATGTTATCAATTTTTGGAACCTGAAGACAGAGCAACCCTTCGATTTGATTCCTCAACGACCCTAGACTGATGCAAAATGCCTTCATCTCGGTCCACGGCGTGTTTTCCATTCTGCCAGGCGCAGTGACTGGTCTACTCCCCAGACGGTCGTTTGATTCTGATGCTGTCGCCAACCCACACGTTCCCGGTCACATTTTCTTGCTCAAGTAACATTTTTGATGTGTATCGAGCTTTCAGGAAGGCGAGAATGCCAGTATACAGGTTGAGCGTTATTAGAAGATGAAACACCTTGCTATGGAGATCAGAAGATGTAAAAGAGAACATGAGAAAGGTTGCAACTCTAACAGACTCACTTGAGAGTTCATTGAAGCGGCAAGGGTGCGGTAGTTTCTGCGGAAGAGAACTCCAAATAAAAACTCTCTCCTACATCATCTAAACAAAAGATATTGAGTTCTCTAAGACTTTAAAACAGATACCCTAGTAAGATATGCCTCTACAGTTCCAAAACTTATGTCTTAGAGTTGTACTTGAAAATCATTCTCTGTTGTACTGCAACAGCAAGCTTCCATAAATTTTCCGAACTTGTGATCTCAAGCGTGGCCAAGTCTACACCCATCCACTGCCTAATCCAAGCCCTTACCTCTATGCTTACCAACGAGTCCATCCCAATATCTGCGAGTCGAGCATGAAGGTCGATGTCTGTGTCTGGTTTTAGCAGGAATCTACAGAGCGTTTTTCCGATATGCGTAGCTAGGAACGCCGTCGTCTCGTCTGACTGAAGTGAGACAATGTTAGACCTGAGCTCCCGAATCGCGCTGTTGAGCTCCTCGTTGGACATCAAATCTGAGCCCGAGGGTCCCTCAGAGTCATCTGACTCTAGGCTGCGCAAGGCCAGCATACGGCGATCCTTCTTCCAGGGAACACGGCAGCTTTTCGAAGTTAACGGTATAGTAGACCTCATTCCCATGGCCAGTAGACACGTTTGTACCCGGAAAGAAGGCGTTGGGGTTTCGGTGCCAGTTGACAGTTCCATCAACAAGCGTTCGATACAATCTAGAAGCTCAACTTCCGTGTTGAACCATTGGCCTGTCGCCTTAGCGGAGTCGGTCGCCCCAGGCCGATCAGCTACGTAACCGACATCGCTGATGAAACCGACGTTTAGCACACTAGCAGCCAATCCTAGGTGGCGCCTGTAAGCAGCGAAAGACTCCATGTACGCGTTACCGGCATGATAATTAGCCTGTCCCCACCAACCACCTGTGGTGGCAGTAGAGCTGAAGAAGAAGAAGAAGTCAACCTTGACTTCGGGCTGCTGCCTCAATAGCGCCTCATGGATGTTCCTGGTTCCGTCGATCTTGGGTTGTGATGCCATGAGCCAATCGGCCCAACTCATAGTGAGGAAGCTGCTATCCCGAAGAACCATGGCAGCGTGTAACACGCCTCCTACTGGCATCATGGCTGTATCAATAGCCCTCGCAACATCGTCGTACTTGGCAACGTCACCGGACACAATCGTCGCCTTGCACCCCAATGCCGCAAGCTCCTTGGCGAACCGGTCATGTTTTTGCAAAGAGCCTGCAGAGCGCGACAAGAATATGATCTCACTAGCCCCCTTTTCGACAAGCCATGTAGCTATACCAATACCCAGGGAGCCGAGACCACCAGTAAAGAGATATGACCGATCATGCCGCAGCTTAAGCGTCTTGTAGATGGGCTCAGAAGGGAGCGCTTGTAGACTAGCGTCTTCCGGCATTGTGACAACGAGTTTGCCTATATGTTGACTCTTCTGCATTAGTCGAAAAGGCTGAGAAATCTGAGCGGCTGAGAAGGTGGAAGCTATCCAAGGCTTGACATGACCCTGAGTCCATAAGTGAACCACCCGTTCCAGGATAGCCCCAATGATTCGCGGCTTCCGGACCCACACGTGCGTCAAGTCGACACCAACAAAGGTCCGATTCGATTCGAATCGTTCCATTGCCAGCTTCGCATGTCCAAGGAAGTCCCTGCGGCCGAGTTCGACGAATGTACCGAATTCTGCTACGCACTGCCAAGACGCATGGAGCAGCTCTCCCGAAAGCTGGTTGAGAACGAGGTCAACACCACGCCCTTGTGTAACTGCCATGATCTTCGCTAAGAAGGATGAGTCGCGGGAGTTGAAGATATGCTCCGGAGGAATTTTGCATTCTTTGACGAGGAAATCTCTCTTGCTTTGGTTACCGACAGTACAATAGATCTGCTCCAAATCCATCAGCTCCGTTTTCCACGTCTCTCACTCACGGCATAGCCAAGATAATAGGTGATTAACTCACATCGGCTTCCAGTGTCTGGGCGAGTTGGAGCGCCGCCATACCCAACCCTCCAGTCGCTGAGTGTATGAGGATACTCTTTAAACAAGGAAATTTTAGCTATTGACTAGAAGAGGCTTCTCTCGTTGTTCATCGACCGAAAGTGATTGGGGGTATATCACCTACCATTCCTTTGCTGGCCTTGCCCAAGTTGAATATCGAATGGAACGCGGTGCAGTAAGCAACGGGGATGCCAGCAGCCTCCTCAAAGCTCATCCTGTTCGGTATCTTGCAGCACAAATCTTGCGACACAATTTTGTTGTTCGTGAAAGAACCGCTCGATATAACGGCGACTCGATCGCCCGCCTTCACCTTATCGACACCCGGCCCTGCTTCTGAGACCACGCCAGAACATTCCAGGCCGAATCCGGCGTCGATGGCGGCCATGTCAGTTATGACACCTTGCGCAATGAGTACATCCTTGTAGTTCATTCCGATAGCCTTTACATCGACCCTAACTTCTCCTTTCTGAAGTGCTGTAGCAGGGAGCGGCTTCCAGCAGAGTGTGTCGGTGAAGCCCGGCTTCCGCTGCTCCAACTTGCGCACAGTCATGCTTTCCGGCAGCACTTGAGATTCTTGCGCGACTTTCATGTAGTGATAGCGACCGACAAAGACCTTTCCTTCTACATACGCCCACTCGAACTCGGGATTTGCGTCGGCCTCATCCGAGATACGCTTCTCAAACTCGCCGTACACTTTCTGGATGATTTCGGCCGCTCTCGTCATGGATAAGCTGTCCATTTCGAAGGTAGCAAGATCGAGCCCTAGCTCCGTTCGTAGGGCGCGGGCGAGGCCTAGTATCGGCGCATACTCTGGCTTGATTGTTTCGCCGACTTGGCATGGGCCTGTGATCCAGAGGATACCACATTGTTCATTGCAGGCGGCTTTGATAAACCGTTGAAGATGAACGTAACTTTCCTCAGATAAACTAGAAAGGAAGGGATATGACATGTCCAGAGTTGAGATGACGTCTTGGCCTGGAGCTAGCCTTGCCGTCAAGTCCTCCAGGACATATTCGTCGACCTTATATGCAGCCGCCTGTAGACTAGCACGGATGTATTGGACTTCTTGACCAGCGTGTTTCAGGAGCGTTACCCGTTTTGGACGGTATAGGCTGGACGCTGGTCGAGAAACGATATTGTTGTTTGTGTAGCTGTCGAAAGAATTTGTTGTATCAACAAATCCAGACTCCGAAAGCTCCTTTTTCCAGCGTTCCCAGCTGACGTGGGGTGCGGAGACGCGGCCATCTGCCTCACCGAGCCACCAGCCTGGTATGACTCCGAAACAGTGATTGATCCACGGCGTCACGGGAGCGATCTCTTGCAGAAGGAGCCATCCCTGAGGGTGTATCAACTTTCTTATGTTTTTCAATGACTCACTCAGCTTAGGCGTAGCGTGTATCACGTTCCACGCAATGACGAGGTCATAGGATGCGGCCTTGAAACCTTGTTCTAGAGGATCTTTGCTGATGTCAAGCAAAGCGAACTGCAGTCCTGAATAGTCCTTGAATCTCTCCCTCGCATCAGCGAAGAAGCCAGGAGATATGTCTGTGTATGTGTAAGACTGGTAGAATCTCTTCCCATGTTCTGATGTCAAGCTTCGAAGGGTACTGGCGGTTGCGCCCCCAGTTCCAGCCCCGATTTCTAGCACTCGAAGATTCGGCTTCTTATGTCCGATCAATGACAAGAATGCCGATGAATCTGTGTCCAAAAGCAGGCAGTCGTATACATGTTGCAAGACGCCATCCGCTAGGAGGAGCTCAAGCTCATTGGTATCACCATTAAAGACACCTTCGCAGCTGGAGCTAACACGCTTGATAGCGGTTGCTGGGGCATGAACCTTGGTTCCTTGTAGCTGATTGAAGAGGGATGAAAGCAGCTCATCCCGCGACTCTGCGGTCATGGTGACGAGTTTGGCAGCGTCCGGGACGCCGGGGCACTTGAGTGACCCAGAGGCGAAACCACTGACCGCGTGCTCAAGCCATTTTCGATATTTGCTAAGGTGATGTCGACATGGTTCAGGAGAACAGCGTACGTTGTCGAGGGTGCGCGCCATAGACAGCACATTATACCGATCCAGAAGCCGATATAGCTCTGCTTTGTCGGCGTTTATGGCTGGGAAGATGACAGATGCGGGATCGATGAATTCAATGTCTTCGCGCCACTCTAGCTGGGCAGCTCCGTGGGGGTTCAGATTCGTATTTTTCTCACTGAACTCGCTGATCCTAGACAGTTGCCAGCCCTTGGAGCTCACGACTGCGTTTCGACCATCGACGGATGCAGAAACACTGCCGAAAAACGACCCAGGTCTCTGTTCCGTAACCTCGGCCAGCAAGCTTAACTCTTCGGCTCGCGCTGGGGGAGGGGTCAAGGTGAACTCGTCAACATAACCAACGAGGGCTAGCGTATTGCAATTTCTCGTCAGGCCGTGTGCAGCGGCTATGTACAAGCTTTGTACGAGACGATCCAAGACTCCTGGGTGTATAGAGTAGTACCTTTCCTCTCCCGAAAGTAGGACAAGTTTCATGGTCGCCTCGACCTTCGGCGTCAAGGGGTCGGCAGTGACGTCCATGCCACTAAAGCGGGGACCATACTCTAGACCGAGAGATCTAAACTTGCGATACCAGGAAACGGAAGAGCACACCCTTGCAAAGTTGCTGCGACTGACCCCAGCGCCGGGCATTTCCACGCTGCTGTCTACCCCTTCGCCGCCGCCACGGACTTTTCCAGATGCATGCTTCACCCAACTCCCATCGCGGTGGGTCGAGATAGTGAAATCGTACCAATCTGAGTCTACCGAGTCGGTTAGGCCAATCCTAGTAAGCTGAGTAATAACTTCTGTCTGGCTCTCATAGTTCATGAGCATCGCAGCATTGAAATTTACTTGCTTGCAGGTGAAGCTGACTTCGTCCGTGAGCTGTCGAACAGCCTCACCAGCCATTAATAAGTATGAGACACCTGGAACAATGATGCTGCCCTCAATCTCGTGTTCTGCGATCCAAGGCACATCCTCGAGACGTAACACGTTTCGCCAAGCAGGATTAGCGCTTGTACTCTCCGAAATCCTACTGCCAAGGAGTTCATGGTGCCGGAATCTACGAAAACGGTACTCTTCGGAGAGTCTAGACTCGTGCCATAGCGGTTCTTCGTAGTGCCAAGGATATAGTGGGAGGTCTGTAAGTACTTCCCCCTTCTTGATGACGCGGTTCAAGGCCACAGGCTGGTCATGCAGCCACAGCTCACCAACAGCACGGAGTAGCTCCTGGTGCGAATCCCGGCCGCGGGTGAGGACATTGATGTACTCGGCGTTGATTTTCTCAGCCCCCATGATCTGACGAATGGGACCCGCTAGTGCAGAGTGCGGGCCAATCTCAAGGAAGACCTTTTCCGATTTCAGTGCTTGTATTGTCGTACTTACAGCTCCACTGAAAAGGACAGGCGACACCAAATTTTGAACCCAGTAAGCAGGACCAAGATCAGCTCCCTTAGAGATAACGTTGTTCCCAACGCTTGATATGAACAGTGTTCTTGGGTCACGGGGCTTCACGTATGGCCGGAGAAGCTCAAGGTATCGTAAAGCCACGCTTTGCATGTGATGGGAGTGATAGGCCCTGTCTACCTGCAGGGCCCTGGCAAGCACTTCTGGGTAAGCTTTCTTTATATCCTGAACGACTAAGTCGAGCGCGTTCTTGTCTCCGGTGAGTGTAATGCTGTTGGGACTGTTTTCGCATCCAACAAGCACGCCGGGTCGAAGGTATGGTGTGACTTGCGCCTTTCCCAGACCGATAGCGGCCATGCCGCCGACAGAGCCTTCTACAGCCCCCAAGACCTTTCCACGATAGTACGCGATGATGATAGCCTCGCGCTGGGTGATTGCTCCGCTAGCGTATGCCGCCGAGATTTCGCCTGAGGAATGACCTAGCACCGCCCTCGGCTTGATATTGTATGTTTCCAGAATATCGACGAGAGCCACTTGGAGAGCTGTGCAGCAAGCCTGCGAGATTTGTGCGTCGTTGATCATAGAAACCTTCTTTGGTGCTAGGATCTGGTCTATTTAATTAGGTATGTCAGTTTGGTTGTTGATTTGGCCAACGACGGCTAGCCGACAATGGATCCCTTCGACGTACCTTTCAACTTCCAATCCGGAGCATCTGGTAGCTCCTGTAGTATGTTATCCATGACCGCTATTGACTTCTCGAACGAGGAGATGTCCTGTATCAGAGACTTCCCCATCTGAGCCCACTGTGCGCCCTGCCCAGTGAAGATGAAGACCAGCTGGGCCGTCTCATCCAGACCGTGACGAGTCGACTTGAGAGTTTCCCAGTCATCAATGCCATTGGCTACGCAACAAGCACGGTGGCCTAGTGTCTCCCGTTTCATAGCTAGTGTATACGCCATGCTGCCCAGTCGGCCAGGGTGGGCTAAGCAGTAGGCCTGATGGCGGTTTACCATCTTCTCGAGCGCCTGGGGATGCTTGGCGGAGAAAAGAAGAAGCTTAGGAGACTCTGCACCAGAGATTGACGCGACAGGCAGATTTGTATTTCTCCCCGTGTCTCTGCCTCGAATACCAAGGTGACCAGCTGAGGAAAGAAGTGCGTAGGCATTAGATCCGCCTACTCCATATGAGCCGACGCCAATGACTTTATCTCTCCCTTCGGGCCAAGGAGTGGGCTCTGTAGGAACTTTGAGCTTGAAGCGATCAAATAGAATCTTGGGGTTGGGGGATTGGAAGTTGACATTTGGAGGAATTGTGTCGTTCTCGAGAGCAAGCGTCATCTTTAAAACACTCGCAAGGCCAGCTGCGCCTTCAACGTGCCCAATATTGGTCTTCACAGAGCCAATATAGATGCCTCCGTGGTTTTCGAAGACGCGGCCCACCGCGTTGGCCTCAATAGGGTCGCCCACAGGCGTCCCTGTACCGTGACATTCCATCATTGCTGTTTTGGAATAGTCATTGATACCAGCTAGCTCGTGAGCTCTCCGGATCAAATCTTCCTGAGCTACTGGATTCGGAGCCGTCATGGTGGAAGACTTCCCGCTAGAGTTACTGGCTGTGGAAAGGACCACCGAACGGATTGGATCCCCGTCGCGAACCGCATCACGGAGTCTCTTGACGTATACAGCTACCACGGCTTCTCCGCGCACAAAACCGTCTGCCTCAGCATCAAATGTTTTGCATGTTCCCGATGGTGATAGAACGTTGTGTTCGTTCATTGTAACGGTTAGAGTGGGGGAGCATATAATACTGGTACCCGCCACTATAGCTGCTTCGCAGTCGCCATGAAACAGGGCATGGCAAGCTTGATGTAGTCCCAATAGCGAGGAGCTGCACGCTGTCCGAACAGTAACACTCGGCCCCATCAATCCAAATTCGTAGTGAATCCGATCTGCAGGCATGAAGTCGAAGCCATTGAGTAGATTGTAGGGATGAACGGTTTGTGGATCGCGGGCATCCAGCTCAGCCCGGTCTCCACCAAAGCTGCCAACCCAGACGCCAATCTTCCTTCCCCGGAGCTCCGACGGCTTCTGGCCCGCGCTCTGGAAGGTTTCATACACCACCTCGAGGGCTAACCGTTGCTGTGGGTCCAAGTTCTCCAATTCTTTCTTAGTCATAGACCAGAAGGAAGCGTCCACGTTTTTGAGGTTGATGTTGCTGTCGAGAAAATAGCCATACTCGCTAGGCACATGTCTCTTTTTGTCCGGTGCGTACCACGCCTGGACATTGTAGCGGTCTTTGGGTACTGAACAACGTCCGTCGCGTTTATTCACAAGCATGTCCCAGAAGGCGTCAGGGTCGGTAACGCCTCCAGGCAGACGCATACCCATCCCGCAGATGGCAACCGGCTCGATAGAGGCCGTGTTTTGTTCACTCGGAGTGTCCAGCTGGCTACTGAACTCGTTGCCTTCGATGCCATAGCCATTGACGTGGTTGGTAGTGGCGTCGCTGTCATCGTTGCCTGTGGCACTTGGAATCGACTCTCCACCATAATACTTTGGCAACTCTGACAACATTTCTATTGGCTTCGCTGGCTTTGGCAATTCGCTGGCAATTTGAGGTAACAGGGTCTATGACTAAGACTTGCTGATACCGGCTCAATTTTGCTGTCTGTATGATTCCTGAAATATGAAGGCAGTTTTGAATGTGGAGTGAAGAGTGCCGCTTTACCATGAGGGAATCCATTTACCTCCTCGACTTCTCTCTCACGACTCGTGGGGCACCAACATCCATAGATAAACTCGACGCTCGAAGTGACAAGCTTTGCTCGGAGATGGTTTGGAACTAGTGTTTCGGTATTCAGTCGGTGAAGACTAGAGCTTGCATTGCAACTTTACAATGACTCATTAGTTTACTTCTAGAAATTCTTTAAACACATCATTTATTGTTCCATCCGGAAACTTTCTCTAATCATACTTTACATCATAACATCCCCCGGCGAACTACCTTAGCACCGGGCCGGGAGCTCAAGCGCAAAACCAGTACCACCTCAATTCCGTAAGAACTCAAAAAAAAAACTTTGGTAAATCGGAATTTTTGGGTGGGACGTTTTACAACCTTATTTTTCTGTTGCTTAATCACATAATAATCCTTGCTGAATATGTGTTATCTCTTATGCGTTTGTTGGTCAGTTTACCCTTAACTGAGATGGACTTATTTACACAATTTATATTGGTATCAAAGGTTATTCGGGAACGACTTTGGTGTTATTTCTACCACGGTATCTTCTGTGAAGTTGGCATTCATTTTTCTTGTGGCTTACGCTTTACCAAACATATAACATTTTTCTATCATCATGAACAAAAACGCGCTCAATAGGAACGCCTTGAATGGCCGCATTCTGAATGGCGGCCACATTGAGAACACTCACACTTTGAACGGCCATGCTCAGAACGGCTGCGCTGTGAACAGTCACACGCAACATGGACACTCTAATACGGAGTGCTCTGTCTCACCAGTCCCTGATCTTTGGATCACCGGCATTGGCTCGCAATATCCTCCATACTTGATCCCGCCTCAAAAGTTTGTCGACTGGGCCCAGAGATATCATGATGTTGAAAAGCCAGTGTAATTGAATCCTCCCTCTTACTTTTAAGACATGGCCAAGGCTAACTGGGTGCCTGGCGAACTAGACTCGCAAGGTTGCTCAAGCTCACGATGAACAGTGGAATTGAGACGCGTGCCTCTTCAATGGATTTTGAGACTGGGTTCGGCTGCCAAGCCGAGGTCCCAACCATTGATCAGCTTGATGCGCGATTCCGCCAAGTTGGTGTTGATTTGACCGTACAGGCCTGCCGAAAAGCTTTGCGTGACTGGGGCGGCAACGCAGAAGACATCACGCACGTTATAGGAGTCACAGTCGGCTGCCTCAGCCTGCCTGGATACGATTATCTAGTGGCCCGCAGGCTCGGGTTGGGTTATCATGTTGAGAATATGTTCCTGAATGGTGTCGGCTGCGCAGGTAGTGTAGCCTTGATGCGTGTGGCCGCTAACATCAGCATGGCTGCGGCAGCCCGAAAGAGGCCCGCTCGTGTTCTCTGTTTTGCATCCGAGATCTGCACCATGTATATGAGGCATCAATACGCTGAAGCCGAGGCGTCGTCTGACATCGAGAATATGGACATCGCAGGTGCCATCTTCGGCGACGCGGCATCCGCCTTTGTTTTATGTAACGAGTACGGGTTGGATGATCCTGATCAGGCCAAGTTTCAGCTACTCGAATGGGAGCGCATGACCGTACCAGACACCATACACCACATGGGCGCAATGGTGAAAACAACCGGCTTCACGAGCATCATCTCTAAACAAGTACCGGACCTCGCCAAGAAGGCGGTGCGGCCTCTGTGGAATAGACTGTTACCTTCATATCGTGAAAAAGTTGGTCTTCCTACACTCGAGATCTCCGACTTCGACTGGGCTCTGCATCCTGGCGGAGAAGCGGTCATCAACAACGTCAAGGACAGCATGGCTTTGACAGAAAAACAGCTTCGGGCTACTCGACAAATTTACAGAACCAGAGGAAATACTGGAAGCCCCACGGCGATCTGTGTGCTTGACTTGCTAAGGAATATGGGGACTGGAAGTGAGCATGTAGTTGCAACCAGTTTTGGACCAGGTCTGGCCAGTGAGATGGCTTTTCTGAGGCGCTGCCGAACCGACTAGTAAAGGCCCAACAGTTTTGAATGCCACGTGAAACGATAGTTGATTGTTTTTTTTTCAAACAAATGAAAAAACCAGATTGCGACCTTCAGAGAACTTAGAGCCAGTAATTTATCACCGCTTGAACGTAAACAATCATGCACATTGCCAAAGATTAACTTGCTACTTATGTAATTCCATACTGATTGCAGGTAATTGCGATTTTGGGCACAGTTGCGTCCCGTGCGATTTGGGGTCCCAACATGCTGTGACCTGTTTGTTTCTTCTCCAATTACACCAAGAGAGAACTGTCATCGAAAGAAAAGTGCACGAACAAGAGGTTTCAAGCAAATAATTAACATAGTTGAGCCTAAACGAATCTTCTACAAACGTTGCGTTTTCTACTCGAATACCGATCTGCCGTGAAGCTTATGCCTAGTGTAGCCATTCCCAATTACTTTGTGCGGAGAAAATGCCTGCTTTACTACTAGCAGCTTAAGTACTTAGGGTTGCATGAGTGAATGTTACCATAACTTAAAGTACCCCTAAGAGGGTCAACGTTTAGAACCCTCGGATTGACCCACACCTCATTCGGCGATTAAGGCTTCTGAGAGCAGTTGATTGAATGGACGCAATTCGTAAAATGACATGCATCAGCTAAATTTGTAGCAAGTGATAGCAAGCGTCGCATTAAGCAGGATTGGAAACGCATATGTACCAGTTGATTGTTGCCTACTCCATCGGCCTTACGACTAGAAGCATGATCATCTCTTCTGTTCGGGCAATAGTGTGTTTGTGCGCTCTACCAACTTTGGAGATAACCACCTCTTCTGGCTTGAGTAGTACATTAGGTGGTTCTTAAGTATAGCTCTTCAACCCTTCTAGCAAGTCGTCGTTCACTAACTACCCAAAGAATAGCTGACCACAGAGCTGTAAAGTCCTTAGTCTCGGACGTAGAAACAATGTTTGGCTTTCAGATGGCTAGGGGAAGCTAACAATGTTAGAGGTAAAACGATTGATTCCACGCGGCCTCAGATAATCGTTAAAAGAATGGCTTGTATCAGAGTCGTGGGATGTAGCTAGGAAGAGTTTCCGCCTCCGCCTGAATTACGTAGTTATTTACATTTAGCAAGGCGCTTCTTCTATGGTTGCCAGTTCCATTCCAGCTGCAGAAACAGTACTTTGGGGGGTGCTGCCATAGTTAAAGGCTTTCTTTTATATCGAACCCTAAAAACAAAACAGTCTGGTTGTCGCCTCCACTGACTATACACGACGAAAGTGCACGCGTCATCAAGTCACCAAACGGGTCCCTCCTTCCTTCTTCAGAATAGAGCGTCGAAGATGTGCGCATTGGGATTCGTACACGCTTTACTTTCTTCCGGACCTGAGCCCTCCGACCGAAGACAGTTTCCCATAAAAGGGCCCTACTTAATGAAAGCTGCGGAGCTTTTATGTACCCAATCGCATCAAACCAAACGTAGGAATCCCGCCCGGAAAGGCTGATGAAGATCTTTCTGTTTCTCCTGGCTCTTTTTCTCTGTACCACGTTCGTTGCAACAACGTCGCACTAGGCGACTAAGTCATAAGCCTCAGCCTGAGCAATATTAGGTTTATGTTTGTATCCAAGTACCAGTCACCCGCTATATACATAGACGGATACACCCCCATACTCATTCAATCAATTTTTAGGGATCCTCTTTGACCTTAAACATTGCAGTAATCTCAAACACTATCATAGTTTATAATGCAACAAGTTAATTCACTTTTGAACTGCCGAGACATTTGTGGGCAATTGAAATTTATGCTTCTCTCACCATTTGACATAAGTAGCGAGCGTAAACGCACCCAAGAAAGGTTACCCTGCCCATTCGGTGAATGCGGAAGATGTCACCGTCAAAGGCTTATCATCCCCATCCACCGTTGATACAAAAACCTAAATGCATCACCTGCCCTGATGATTGGACTCAAACTTCCAGTACAGTTGCACGTCTTAAATCCCTCTTGAACTTTCCAGCGTGAATTCTAGGGCCGGCCTTGTGCATGACCGTTCTGCCGAAGAAATCAGTAACGTAATTATTATCAAGAACCCCTCCTTCGACAGTTTTGACGTGCCTATTATCCCATATAACCAAATCTCCTGGGTTACGCCATTCCACGTTGAGCTGATATTTCGATTTAGTGGCGTGCTGCAGGAGCGTGTGCTGGAGCCCCACAATCTCGTCCTCCTGATCGGTCGCACCCTCGATATGGTGCAAATACACTCCTATGTATAAGTTCATTCTGTTGGACGGCTTATGGAGCTCAACTAGAGGATGCTTAGCCATAGGGTAGGCCGAGGGGTCTAAGTCTTTGAATATGTCCGGGTTGCTCGTTTTCTGGGAATGCTGCCAGGAGTGAGCACCAACATAGTTTTTTGACAGCAGCTTCTCTTTCAAGCCCAGCTCAATTTCGTTCAAGTCTTCAAACGCTTTTCTAGTGTCGGCAAAAATTGTGTCGCCGCCGTAACCTAGTGGCGGGATCTCATAGGCTCTTAGGAGGCTCCATGATGCACGCTGCTGGCTGTAGGCAAGATCAGCATGTAAGAATGAAGCGATGCGGTCATTGGGTCCTTTGACTGCCACAGGTTCTCCAGTCTCTATGTCGACATTACTCAGGTCGGCAAGCTCATAAGTACCGAGCCGTGTTTTTTGACCTGCAAGCACCTGACTCATGTTTAAGATGGGCCCAAAGCGACGAGCGAGCTTGATATGACTGGAGTCATCTAGATCGGTAGCACGGAAGACAAGGACGCCATACTATTTTTGGTGAGCCATGTTCTCCATAGCAAATGAACTAATGACTGGCATTGTTTCATGTTTGTCTTTAAAAAGGGCAAAGTGGAAATTTCAGGCTCACCTTCGCGGATAATGCAAGAATGTCCTCGAAGACATCGTTTGGTATAGGTTTCGACACGTCAACTCCCGAGATCTCAGCGCCGAAGTATGGATGCAATTCAACAACCTGGAGCTTGCTGAGGGATTTTCCGATGTTTTCCGCAAGACTCCCCATGTTTGGACTTCTCAATATCAAATTCAGGTGATCTGTGTAGAGTTTTTGGTTACGATGTGGGAATTCTTAGTGCGCAGCACAATATAGAGTTCCTCTGGCGAGGTGTCGGGCCTGTTTGTTTGCGTGGGGGGACAGCTGTAAAGTTCTGGATACAAAGCTCAAAGTTTGGACGACGTTGCGTTGTGGATTTTACGTTGTGCGAGGCGTGATGCCGGCAACTCTACTCAAGATACAAACTTGATGCTGCAAAGCGTAAAGGCCGTTCGGCGGTGGACACTGCCTCAGCTACAAACAGAACCGAAGATAGGTATGATTTTTCTCGGCATATTTATAATCATTCAGGTAGCAAATACCATAAAGTTTGGCGTTACGACTCATTCAGGATGACTCCCTCACAACCAGGATTTCAACCCACAAGGATGTGCTGATTGCTTACACCAAAGTTTCATGAAAGCAAGTTATCCAACATGTGCCATGGCCCTGATAATTAACCACCGAGACAAGGGGTGTTGCTGAAGCTTTGATGGAATTCGGATCGCATGATAGTTTTATGATGGGCAGAAGTAAAATGGGCGAACTAAACAAACGCAATCATGTACATTTGCTTAGTAACCATTCGCGAGTCACGTTGATGTTGAATGCTAACGCAAAGTTGAAAATAACAAGCTTCCGAGCAATTAACTTACTTCATCTATGCTGGTGTCTGCACTAACGGTCGAAATGCTGCAACAAGTACGCAGCTTCTTTGTCTTCTCAAGGTTGGCGTAACACACATCAAAAAGCCTAAGTCTTCTCGAAGAGATATTTATAGTTTGCAATTCACGTAGCTAACTGGGACGTTGGGTAGAAGTGTACGGGTTTTGATGAAATCCGTCAAATGTGTCAACATACCCCACTTCGAAACTACAGTTGTTGGACTACCTTCCATCAAGGCAATGCAATGAAAATGAGGGTATAAATTCGCCAAGGCTCACATCAGCAAAACAGTGTAGAGTACTGACCACAAGAACGACTGGCTCAAAGCTTCTTCATCCTCCCGGAAAAATCCAAGGTTTACACAACTTTCTCCCCCCTGCTCTAAGAGAAGAAAATGCGCGCAGGCAACTTGGCAATCCTTGGACACCTTTTCTTTGAGTCCATGGCATGCTTGTCCTTCTTTCTCCAGCCACGAAAGCAATTACAAGATCCGGAAGCAACTGATGAGGCGGTTTTGATATGCCATAGCTACGCAGGCATGCTCCTCGCCACCGATGTACTGTGCCTACTTTCTCTCATTCGGAGTGGTTATGATACATTCGACGATACCAGCGCTATGGTAGCCTGTTCTATGGCCGTCTATCACCTCTTCCCTATCAGAAGGGCTTGGACGAGGGTTAAAAAGCGTAGAGGTGCTTACCGGCCAGAAGAGGGGATGGCAGGTGGCCCACCAGGACATCTCATCATCCATAGTGTCTTGTTTGCATCCTTGTTTTGGGCCGGTTGGTGCGGATAAAGATGACCGACAGCGCTTTAGTAAGAGAATTACCTGCATTGGCTACGTTACAATACAATTTTTAATAGGGCAATGCGCTTTGTTCTCAAGATTGCTTAAGGCCTAAGAGTGGGTTTAGGATATAAGCTATAGATACAGATAAAAGCTTTTAAGGAAACTCATTAACCGATAGACTCGCGGTGTTAGCTTTGATCACCCTTATACAGGATTTAGCTGTGCTATTACTCCAGCTACCGACATGTAACCCCTTTAGAGGGTGCAACCAGTAGGGTTATATTGTGATCTGGGTGGCAATCAAATGTACTCCCTCTTATGTCCCCACTTGGCAATTATGTGAAGCATAAAAGTTCCATTTCTGAGCTCTAGATTCAGTCCAAATGGCGCGTATGGCAGCAAGCGGCTTGTTCCTTTTGAAACTTGATTATCATGCATTGCCAAAGATTAAAGTTGATACAGAACACTGTTCGCCACTACCACTTTCAGCTCCAACACGGAAAAAAAAAAGGCTGCAAGGAAAAGGTATCGATAGTGGAAGAGGGTTAGCCGCTTAGGCATGCCTAGAGAAACAACAATCAGATGACTATCATTCATATAACAGGTTGGTATGAGAGTTAGTCTGATCAACTATCCTAGTCAGCAGAAACTCACCATCATCGACAGCCTAGGTCACGTCACCCTCCAGGCGCAGTCAACATGATCATTTTACTTTTGTACCTCTAAGCCTTAACCCCGTTCCAATAGGCGGGGAGGCCTAGAATGAACAGGGACGTAGGCCATCGAATCCGAAACCAGGAATCAAACAAAGCATTCACTGACTCGAGGAATCCCACATTTTACTTTGGTAGTTCGATTCTAACAAACTCACCACGTACACATGCGGAGGGCGCGGTATCTATATGTGCGATCCAACTTTAGGTGACTTAGCATCCTTCAACCAGAACTTTCAAATCTCTTGGAGAAAATCCAATGCTTCATTTGATGGCTACATTACCTAGGAGTCTTTATATTTTCTCTTCAGTCACACATCAGCAACCCTTCCAATCATCATGTTTTGATCAACTGTTTATAGCTGATTATTCGTTTCCGAATCTCAACACGTGATCTTCAAGTTTTTGAACTCGCCATGGCGATGATAAACCAAACCAACTTCCCAGCGCCCCAATTTCTAAAAGAAACTGGTTACAACAATGTGCCAACTACAATGGATCAGACCATCTTTTCTCCGCCTCAATTTCTAAAAGATGTCGAAGAGTTTTGCAATGTTCTTAACGCCCCGTTCTCTGCAGAAACAACAAAAACTGTACTCGGAGCGTATAACACCCATTTCAAGAACGCTCCTGTGGGATGGCGAGCTACCAACAAGGATTTCTCGCTTAACTATCGTTATCTTCGAGGCGCACCAACTGATCCCGTCGCTATCGCCATTCAGGCAGAGTTCATTAAGCCCAGTCCCATGGCCGGTTTGGTGGAATCGTGGTCTGCACTATTCAACGGCGAAGTAAAATTGGCCTGTGATTTTGACACCGCAAAGGGACTTACAAAGACGTGGATATTCCTGGGTCAAACACGGCAAATGGAAGAGGTTCTTGATGTTGACTTTGTTCCAAATTCGATTCGCCGTCACGTGGGGACATTCAAAGAAAACGGATTGGACAGAGTGAGAACTCTTGCTGTTGACTGGCATTCCAAAACAGTCAATATTTATTGGCGTGCTCCAGGACCACTTTCCAAAAAGCAAGCCGATAGACTGCTTGGGCTGACTGGTTGTCTGCCACTGGAAGAGGAAGAAGTTGAAGAGATTGCTAAGTTTTCTTGCGCAAAGGACGGAAGTTTTGCTTTCGCTGCTACGCTAAGCTTTGAATCGGGTGAGTTTGGAAGAGCAGGATTCTATGCCACCAAATTGTCACGAGAGAATCTTCCGAAAGTGGATGATAGACTGCAAACATTTCTTCAGAATGCACCCGATTATGATCCAGAAGAATGGATCACCATTGGCTGGGGGTTTGGAAGAGGCGGGAAGAAGTATATGAAAGCCGAAAAGAGCTATTGTGGAAAATTTATGGACAGAGTGAAGGATTTGATAAACCAAGACCCAAATATTAGTAGTTAGAGACTGTGTGCAGAATGGAAATCGTTTGCTTATTCCAACTGCTGAACAATCTAATAACTGTTGATGGTGTTTTTAATATCACTTGATAAATGCTCACGGTTTTAAAACGCAACCCCAATAATGACTAGCCTTTGCTACTACCTATAGTCGACGTTCAATAGAAAGAGTACTTATGAATCTCTATTACTTTAAAGCTAGGTTACTAATCAAGTATTCTTATTAAACTTGTTAACTTCCAGCATTAGAATATCGGACACTTTCAAGTCATATACCGCACACAGCAGCTGCAGAATCATGCTCGCTATCTAACGCAACGACCATTGGCTCTGCCGACATTTCCGCTGTGTCACCCTATAAAACCAGATTCAAACTCTATTACCCAAGCCGGTGATTTGTATCCAAGGATGGTTCACTTATTAAGTTCGTCAGTAGGTTTTTTCTTTCCACACTGAAACAGACGTGAGGGGCATCGCATAGTCAACCAATAGACTTTTTGAGCTAAGAAGTCAAAATAGCCTGTTTTTCTGTCTATCATTCTTCTTCAAGCTTATTAACAAGATTGACAAAACTTGCAAAACGGACTTTCTCGCTTTGAAAGCCGTTAGTCGCATCCCTGCAACTTATCTTAAGCGGCAGTTGCTAGGCTCTAATCACTGGGAGTCATTGCTCGAGAGTATGCCACTAGCTCGGAGTCTAGATACTTTGAATCCGACCGAGACCATAACGTCTCGCTCTTCTATCTCATCCTATTGTAGGGTACTTCTCATCACCAGCGTAGACTTTTGAACATACTAGGGTAACCCCGCTTCGGGAGCATATCTTACCGTTGTGATGTTTATAGAGAGCGATACGGTGCAGTGAACAACCACAACCCCCCCTATAGCTACGCAAGATGCCTTTAGCTAGTTACAATTCAGCTTGTCCTACTTAGGTCAAATCTAGCCTAAGTAGGCTTAGTTGTAGCGCGTTAAGCAAATCAGAAGCTCTTAGGGTCCTCTTATAGGTATAATCAGTGTGTTAGTTCTCACAAAAAAACAAAAAGGATACTCCCGTGGGCATAGAAAAACCAGATAAGTGTACACTAATTAACAGTACCTAAACTGTGTAAGTCCGTCGTATAAGACTATAAGGAGCCTCTCTCTTGAAAAATCAAACTAGAAGGAGGCTAGATTACTAATTAAGTGGCAGGTGCATAATGCCTTCCATCTACAGCACGTGAAAGGAGTTGATGTTTATTTTGTGCGGCGCGTGTTACATGACCTCTAAAACTCTGTGGCGGCCAATGTTCTGAGGATGATAATTGGGGTTATGGACAAAACTCTCGAATCCTGATCAAAGATATGATTGCCCTAGATTTTTACGGCGAAGATAGCGAATGGTTCACTAACCGTGCTGATA